CACTTCAGTGCTTAAGCCTGGTATTCTAAACCTCTCATTTAAGAGCTTTCCAACTTGAGGGGTGAGGGGTGGTGGGCATGTCGTGAGCGGAGCCGGCTGGAGCCGGGGGTCAGACTAGATGGCCCGGGAGGCCCCTTCTGCCTCGCTCTGTTTCTATGTTTTGAACTCTCATCGAAGCTATTTCAATACTCAAAGGTTCCTTTAAACTTTGACTTGGGGAAGCAATGCACAGTACCTGCAGACTTGTCTTTGGACTCCAAAGTGCTTGCGAGCTGTCGCTTGTCTGTACGGACCTTGCTACTGACACTTAGTCTTGGGCTTGGAGACAAGCAAGCCTGGCCTGCTTTGTTCCACCCTGCTGCCAACCCTGCAGAGAAACCGTAGCTCCGTTGATCTCCAATTAAGCGGCAGTTCAAGTGCAGACTTTCAGGCATTTCTGGTTAAGTAGTACATTAAATATGTTGCATGTTTTTGGCAAACAAATTAGATCCTTGTACTTAGCAATTCTGTAGCCCTTTGATAGTGTCTGAGAGGCCCTTGAATGCCAAGGACTTCTCCCCTTCCTCTGGACAATACATTCCTAGAGTGCAATGGTAATATCTTGGGTCCTTTTGCTGGGACGGGCAGATTGGCAATTGAAGTCAGATCTGCCAGGGTTCAAACATAACCCTTTGCATGTCAAAATAACAGTCAGAAGGCTCTCAAAATACTGCTGCAAATTGTATTTCCCTGTTGTCATGCCATCTTTCACTAGAACAAGCCAAGGTTGACAAACTATAAATATTTGCAAGGTATATTTATTATGAGCATCTTCAGTGATGTGGCAGATCCAGGTACCCCTTCGGAGAGCTTCAGCTGTGAAGCAGTATAGAAATGAAATATATAATAAAAAAAACCCTCTTGGACTTGGGAACTCTGAGACTTCAAACAGAAGCTAGTTGAGGTTTTGCTCCTGTAGACCTTTCCTTAGACACAGTTTCCCATGTAACTAGAAGGTCAGCTCGGTGTGGTAAAACAGAGCAACATTTAATAATTAGAGACAGCTTAAAATTGGGTTCAAATCAAGGACATTTTTATCATCAAAGACTCTTGGGAACTATCATGAAGTGAGCTGCACAAATATTAACCCTAAAATTGAAGCTGTTTTCCCACTTGGCATTTTACATTTCACATGCTTGTAATTTTCTACTGTAAAACATATTTAATTAATGTTATTAAATTCATTGACCACCCCGTAGCAGAGCTGGGGATCGCTCATAATAACATTAAAATCAGTCAAGCCAAGAAATCAATAAAACACATCTAACTGTACAAAATAAATAATGGCAGCGAGGATTTAAAAGTTATGAAAATCCAACTCATGGAAGAAAATATCGGAAAACTTCTATCGGCTAGAATGCATGCTTGATTTTAAAATGGCCCTTTTATGCCTTCTGTCTTGCCTTGGCAATGTTCACACGTTACAGACAGGAATCTCTGCAGTATTGATACTGTCTTGTGTGAAAGTGCAGAAAGGGTAAACTGGTCTCCTAGAAAACTCAGCTTTGCCTTTCTACCAGTGTGTGCTGGGGACGTGGCAGCTTCTCGGGGGCAGATGGAGCAAACTCCACAAACTTCTTTTCTTTTCTTTTCTTTTCTTTTCTTTTCTTTTCTTTTCTCCTTAAAGCTTCCTTTCCCCTCACAGGATTCAGGCTTCAACCTGTCACTGCCCCCAAACTGTTTTTACAGAAAAGATGTGGGGTAATTAGGATCTGCTTTGCAAACATTCTTGGCGGAATTAAGAGGCAATTGGCACAACTCTGCCAGTAATCCCTTTACAAGCCTTTATGAACACAACACAATCGGGTGTTTACAGATTTACTTATAGACCAGGAGTGTTAACAGGCCTGTAGGAAAAATCAGGTAATTGAGGCTTTTGTCTTTCAATGAGCCCCCATAGCTGTCAACTTTGCCTTTCCCTGCATTTCTTTCACTGTGTATTTTGACAAGGGCTTTTGTCCTATTGACAACAGCTGCGTGGGAGGTGAAGTTGCAGAGAACTTTCCCCCCTCCCCACCCCCACCTTTTAAATTCTTCTGCAGTTGACATTCTGTCGGGAAAGATTTCGGAATGCTAAGTTACGTTTGCCTCCTTTTATTGGTATTACTTTGGATGGTGCTGCTTCTCCATTTGGAAGAGTGCAATGCACTTTTTGTGGTCGCTGAAGAACCTGATTTGCCAAATAAAGAATTTAGAAGCCCAACCTGGGGATCCTCTTTGTCTTCTGGAGACCCACAGGGGCCATGTCTTCTCTTCATCGCTTGCTGCTGCCTTCGCCTTCCTCTCCAGTTCACCCACTTGTTCCTGCCTCCTCCACCACTATCTCTGCTTCTACATCTCCCCAAAATGTTTCCAGAACGCCTCCCCAGGAGGCATCAGTCAGAGCTTCACTCTCCCCTGCCCTGCCACCTGCCCTTTTAGATTACCCTCGGGGGAATGCCTGATATGTCCCCATGCAAGGGGCTGTGACTGGAGCTGCCAGTGCAGCTGCTTGGGCAGGAGCCAAGGCAGCCCTGGGTTCCAACCCAGAGCTCTTGCCTTGAGGGTGAGCGTGTCAGGAACGGCTCTTCTGCACCCAAGGGCCCTTGGCTCGCCGATGCCAAGCTGGTCGGCAGCGCGTTCTCCCACACAGACTGCAGATGCTTAAAAAGAAAGCTAGAACAGACTGAGTGGTTTACCTCTGTTCTTCCGAAATGATTCAAGAAATGGAAAATTTCTGTTCAGGGGTAAAGAAAGCTTCCCAGCTCACATTCAGTAAAAATGGTTTAAAAAGTTAATCATTTCCTCACATTTTTTGCCTTGTTTGGTTTTGGTTTTGCTTCCTACCTTTTGGTAAACCACCACTGCTTTCAAACGCTACCATTCTGTTCATTTTCACTTCCTGCTGCATCAGTACCAAAAAGCATGTGTAGGTGGGTAGATAGGTATGGGAAATTCTGACAGTATCTAATTCTCCTCTTCTCACATAAATAGGGATAGCTATTGATACATAGTAGAAATGTACTCTATATGTCCTGTTTTAAACAGGTGTTTAAAGTTAAATGTCATACTTCCTAGTGTCCCCAGGATGTCATCAAGCAGCTATATCCATCTGGAAGTGGTGATGGAAGTAAAATATTTTTTTTTTCCTATTCCCTTGGAAAGAAATTCATGTGCAGAGTGCCTTGGAAAATAAAAAAAAAAAAATCTCCAAAGGCTCACGGTATAGTTGGGCAACTTGTGACCCCCCCCCCCCCAGATGTTTTTGTACTCAATTCCCATCAGCCTTCGTATAACTAACAGCAAGTGATTCTGGGAGTTGTAGGCCAAAGAAGTCTGAAGGGCAACAAGCCACACATCTATGGGATGACTTCACTGCAAAGAAAAACTCTGGAGTGCACTAAAGTGTAATCTATGCACAGCACTTAATTGAACTGCTTAATCAGGGAGCAGATCAAGTCCCTGTCAGTCTTGCTTACATTACAAGATCCACATGAATGTGCTTTGCACCAAAGATTGCCTGCCTTTCACTCCAGATCTTGTGGATTAAAAAACAAAACATAAGTGTAAGCACAGTTAACAGTGTGCATGCTGGTTACACCACCAAAATATAACTTTAGATGAGTCTGGAAGTACGAAGAGTGAAATGGAAGCACAAATGAATGTTGGCAGGTTTTACTGGGAAATTGTGATGGAAGCAAGCCTCACAGGAGAACCAGGCTAGGTGTGAAAGACCCTTCTCTTTCCCAGCTTTTGCTAGTGTATTGATGGTGCAAAATCAAAAAAGAACTGCTTCATCTCTTTCTCTTGAACTTGCATGTAGGAGAACAGCCCTTTGTTTGCGACTGACAAGTGCTGTGATGCATTTGTCAGGGGATCTGTGATTCCCAGCTTAATGCAGAACCCCCCCTGTTGTTTGGAGGCTATTTTATGCCCATAGGAAAGACCAAATAGCTTCATTTTTATTTTGCAATGGTAATGCTTTCCCATCGCCAGCCAGTGAGATCTGTGCGTCTATAAACATTCCCAAGGTATCCATATCCTGCGATGTACGCGGCTGAAAACAGAAACATTCCATTTTCAAAGTCAGCAAGATGTGTACAATGTAGAAATGGCTTAAGTACACTTTTACTTCCTTCGCCTTGGCTTTTTAACTTCATACATAAATATTTTCAGAACTTTGAAAATTCTTAACTGCAAGAGAACAATCAAGGAAGGTAGCTTTTTCCTGCACAGAGAACCCAAGCGTTTCTCTCTGGGCGAACAAATGTTCTGAAGGCAGGTATTTAAGTTACGTGGCTGAAGCTAAGCAGGTCTGGACTTGGCAGGACAAGTGACTGTCTAGGAATCTCTTCTTGGAGGGAGAATAAGAGGCAAATGTGATCAACCAAACACTGGAAGTAGTTTTGCAATCCTTGTGCTCTCTGTCTTTATGTACCTTCCGCAAATATTCTGTTCTAGATACCAGATAGAACTGCTTGTTGATAGACCTAAGGTCCATACCTTTTACCTGCAGCAAACAATTTACATATTTTCACTATATATTAAGTGACGAATGTTGCTTTCTCATCCTGGGCTGTACATTGCAGAGGGCCTTGAAGTCCTCGCACCAGAAAGAGACTTCATGAGAATCTCTTGTCCCACTCAGTTTTCCTGCAGGCTCCATTATAACTGTGCCGATCATTCTGCTCACAGGCAAAGCACCAGGATGTCCATGGCCAAGCATGGTAGCTTCCCAGCTCACCACACTTCCTGGAAGTTCAGCCTTCCTCAGCAAATCATTTCCTTATAAAGCCAATGCTATTGCAGACACAAGTTGCATACAAATAAATCTGTATGTTGTCATTCCTTCAGCTCCTGCCTACCCATGAGACCATCAGTACAGTGCTGATAAAGTTTTTAGAGGTATTGTGTAAAGGTTGGGTGTAATTTCCATACCGTTTTATAATGAGTCTTTTTCTTTCTTTCTTTCTAATCTGCAGTGTGACAGCGAAAGTGACGTTGATGATAAGGTAAGGCTAAATATCCCTTCCTTTAAAAAAATACTTCTCTAAAAGCCTGAAAAGTAAGAGGAAAGTCAACATAAAACAATACTTTTCATCTACTTTGATGTCATACTTTAGAAATACTAATTGCTGGAGCCTTAAATGCGTTGGTTCAGGTACACAGGATGTCTTTCATCTCTGGCTTCACTGTGCGCAGGATTCGTTGTTGCTAACGTGATCTATCTTTTGATGAATGTGCCATGATCAGAAGAACGTTCAAGTACTATGTTGCACTCCTATTGTCTTATTTTGGAGAAAGGCTTCCCTCAGTAACTGCTTGAAAGGCAATATTTTATTTATAATGACTTTTGAACATGTCAGTTTTGTAATGGACTTGGAAGATGTACAACCAGTAACCTATCTATGCAGATAATGCTGTAGCTGTCAGAGTATATTTTGGCTTTCTGCAAACATATCTATCATGCAGCAATGATTTTTCTGACCTTTTTGCTTGATACTCCCATTAGTCATTGGGAGATTTCAGTCAGATGTTCGCAATACACCGAGTTGCATGTATGGATTCTTCTTGCAAGCCGGTGACTTCCACTAGCATGGAAACCTTTCATTTGTGGAAGATGCAAGTTTAATTAATACCACTTCGTTCCAAAGCGCTCCCACGGAATGTGATGGGACCACTCACTGTGTTGCACTGCGAACTACAGCCTGAGGTTCTGTTAAAAGAACATTTTTGTGGCCTTTGCAGACTGCTCACAAGGCCTGCAGGGTATCAGTCTTTGGTTCAGTTTTGGCATGCGCCCTCGCTGAAATTGGGTAGCACAGTTCAGGCACCTCTGCAAAGCTCGCCTGAATAACTCTTGCCTTCCATTGCACCTGGAAAGATTGTGTGTGTGATGGGTAACTGCACCCATGTTGTTGTTGTTCTCAGTATTGGAGCAAATCCAATCCTCTGGGGGTCCGAGTCCAGCATTCTGGAATTCCCCTGGCTGCTTCCCATTTCCTACAACTGCCCAATCGGTTGGAGGTTCCCCGAATTTTGTGCAGTCCCCCCCCCCCGCCCCGCATTCTAGTAGGCTTACATGCTTCTAAAGTTTTGGTACTGGCTGTAAGGGCATTAAGCTAAAATTGGCTGGTGCTTTACTTCTCTGTGCCCCATTTGGCCATTCCACAAGAGCGTCTCCAGAATGGAGTTTGGTTCCTGCACTAAAGGAGTTTCTGCTCCCCTGCATTCATATGCTTGTAACTAGTGTGGCAATAACCAGTAGTAAAACTAAAGACTTTCTCATGGACCTGTTTATCCCTCATAGAACCCGCAGCAGTTGCTTCTCAAGCATAAACAACCAAGAAAGCCGATGCCATGATGCATTTGTCAGACTTTAAGACAGGGTGAAAATATTGTAAATAAATGATTTCGATATCACCTTTCAGGCTGGATTTCAGTTAAGCTGAGGATGGATGGCATTGGGCTCCATAATCCTCCAAATCTCTTTAGAGTTTTAGTTTGCACTCTTAAATAGACTGGGCGCATTCCAGAGCAAGCTGGGTTGATTCAATCCCAGGTGTTTCTTGAGTTTCTGTGGGTTTTTTGGTGATGCATTCACTCAAAATCCTTTAAACCCAATTGATTTCAATGCAATGTGAGCGTTCCCAACTTTCTATGGATCACGCCCCACCTTAGTAATTGCCAATGTCAGAGATCATTTCGAATGTTCAGTTGATGAAACCCCCATGGATTCCTTGGTTATCCATAAAAAGGTAATAAAAATTTGCCTAAACACTGAGGTATCAAAGTTTTGAAATGCAAATCATTAAAGACAAGAGGATGCAGTCATTCTGCGCAGCGCCAGATTTAGGTTTGGTTTGCCACTTATCTTACAGATGTATACAAACATTTAACTTTATCTTTGCCAAGATCACAAAAGGTAAAAGAACTGCACATTCAGGAAAGCTCGTTCTAGCAAAGCCACAAGGCCTGCCACTGTCTTCTCTTGTTGAATGTTTACATTTGCCAAACATCTATAATTGCTCCAGACATTCAAGTCTTGTTGAATGTTTCCATTTGCCCCAAATAAAACTGCATTATTGTTGTTTTGCCTATGCGCTGTGAGAACAAAGGTTGGCTTAAGCAACAAAGGCCTGTGCAGTAGAGAGCTGGGACTTATTTTAGTTTGGGGGCTTTACAGTCAAGGTGGAAGGATTGTGTCCTGTTGGCTGAGTCAAAATAGGATTGGGGAGGGGGTGGGCTCAAATTCACCTGTTGCATGCACAGGTGCATACCCCATAATGCACCTGTGAGAAGCTCTGTAGGTACATCACTGGGACTCCCAGTACCCACAGTAGACCAAATACCCCCATCACCATCTCCCAGCAACTTCCCTTTGTTAGTTTCCCCACTACTTTATGAAAATATCCTACAAGGTCGCCAGGAAAGTCCTCTGCAGTCTGGGCCCTTGCTTCATGCATGACTCTTCCTGTGCATTGAAAACTTCTGATGAACTTTTCCTCCAAAGCCTTCCTGTCACTACAATGAAGGTAAGATGCTGCTCAGAGACAGGGCCTTCTAGTCATGGCCCCCGTTTCTGGAATGCGCTCACTAGAGAGGTTCACCCAGAGCCCACTTTGCAATCTTTAACATGCCAGGCGAAATATGCCAGACTCCTAAAGATTCACTTTGGCTCTGCTGCTTTTATTTCTGTCAGGTTCCATTGTTTGCTTTTTGTGTTTCGATTGCTTTTACTTGACTGTGCAATTCTGTTGTGAATAGCTCTGGATGCAATTGGTTGAAGGACACTATAGAAATGCTTAAAATAAACAGAGATGTGATACAGAAGTGCTTAAATAAGGTTCTCCGTAATACACAACACAATAAGAACAAATTTACACAGCCACATCAACAAGAGATGAATTCTAAATAAACAGAGTGCTAAAAGCAGCACCCAGCATTAGTCACTCATTTAAAAGCCCCGGAGAATTAAAAGATTTTAACTTGTCATCTAAATGAGAAATGTTGGGGTTTGCCAAACATCTTAGTAGATGTTTCGTAGAGATGACAAACACCAGCAGGACTTGGTGTGCTGCACAAGTGGCCAACCTGGCAGAGTTAAAGTTGACTTAGTGAGATGTTTTCTCTCTTCTTGTTGTTCTTTACAGAGTGTATTTCAGGTTTTTCTCTGCCCTGCCTAGACTTGTGCTAACAGAGGGTGGTGCTACATGGGTGAACAAGGTGGAACTCAATTCCCTCGTATTATTTCTGACGCGGGAATCACAGTATTTTTTGCATTTGCCCAATCAAAGAAGGCAAAAAAGCAATCATTTAGAAAAACTACTTAAAAGATCTGCCAGTCAACGCTCGGATGAAGTTGTAAGTGACATGTAGTTTTCGTATACAGCTATGCTATTAATGATTATCTAAATTACACTGGGTAGACCCAGCTAGCAGCATTACATTTGAGACTGACGTTTGTTAGATTAGGTTTGACTTCACCTTGTAGTGAAGAAATTGAAATCTGAACAACATTGATTAGCTTTCAGAATATGGGGTCTGAGGTTGTGTTCAGAGGAAGCTGTATCACATAGGGCTGGTAACCCAACTGTCCTTCTCTGCAAAGAGAAGAATATTATATCATTCGGTGAAGATAATATCTGAGAGAGAAACAAAGAGAAGGGTGTTATGTTTCTTTGCAACTTATGCGCTAACCACAACAAGCCAGAGAGAGAGAGAGAGCAAGAGAGCGCATGCCTTTGTGTCTTTTCTTTGTATTTCTTCCTTGATCTGTAAAGACATGAAAAAGGCACCAGTTTCATTAAATAGACCTCTGCCTCTAAACAGGACTGTATTTGATGACAGCAAATGTTGGGAGCTGAGGTTCCTCCTCCACAGACCTTTTCTTTGCAAAATGCTCTTTATTGACCAAAACGCAAAAGACCCAGAATGAATCTCTAAGCGTGCACAGAGCAGTTGGTTGAACCCCATCTAGCATTCACCTCCAGGAGCTCTGCTTATGAGCATGCCTGGGCCCCATTCCTTTGGGAGGAGCCTTCTGAAAGCCTCCTTTTCACATGCGCATCCTCCAACTGGGCTGCCCTCCTCTGGTGGCAAGGAGCCATGAGGTTAAGAGCCGTGTCTGCCTCTCCCTGCTCCAAGTCCCCTCCCTCAAACTGTACATTTTGGTTGTTCCCAGAGACCACCTGCCCACCTGGGGAGTCTGACCTTGAGATAAGCATCTCCGCTTCTCTCATCTCAGTGTCGCAGCATAGCCTACCTTCCCAGGCTTCCTCCTGGTCCTTTCCTCCTCCTCCTCCTTCTTCCCCCTTCCAATTCTTCTGAATCCCACCCAGCAGCCCTTGAGGACATGCCGCCAAAGCAGCCGCCTTTCTCACTCCCAGCAGTAAAGACAGATGCATGCATTGCAACCTGGCTTCCTGGTCGGTCTGAGACCTGGCCTCAGGCCCTGGACACAAGTGTTGCCAATACCTTGCCTCAAGTGCCCCTGCTCTCGGCCACGCAGTGTACTTACCGTGTTCTTGGGAACCTTCGGAAATGCTATCTCCAGGTCGAGGCTCAATGTTTACGAAGAAGACCAATGTAGTCTTGCAGACTGTGGGTGTCTACCTCCCATTACACAGCACAGCCAAACCATCCCATGATTCTTCTTACCCTCAGAGTGCCCCTTATCTTTTCTTAGTCCTGGGATAGCAAGTCTGGGATAGCAAGCCCACAAACATTCATGGTTGCTTGGACAGTAGCTATGCTCAGAGAATGGACTCATAGTTTTGGTGCTAAGTTTTTATTCTCCTTGACCATCACGTCATACCTCTTGACAAATATGCACTTATATTCAATCCCTACATTTTTATTTAAGAAAATAAAAGAGAATAATGTAAGGAAAAACAGATGAACGTTCTTGAGTTTGAGAGACCCCAAGTATCCCCCATAAGGTCTGTAACAAAATTCTGGGTGCATTTGCATTTATGTTGCATTTGTCAAAGGCCATGGAGCCTGTGATAGA